TTTTAATTATTTTTAAAAATAATACAAATATAAATATAAATTATTTGCTAATTTAATACATAAAAAATGACTATCATTTAAAAACAAAAGAAAGTAATATATTTACTTTGTAAACCCCAGGTATTTAACGCTCGTGTAGTACTACTGAGGTCTCACGCAGAAGCAGTTTAAATTGACTTTTTATCCTCCCCAAGCAAACCGGCTAAATTACTGCTTTGACACAAGAAGAATTAAAACCTTTAAAGTGTATTTAGGGTGGTGTTATAAGAATAATTATTTTATTTTATTTTTTTATATAATATTTATATATTATTAAGTAAATTAATATATTTAATATCATAATTTTTATATAAATAAAAAATTAAATATTTAAATAACACATTAATTTATATTAAAATATTAATATAAAAATACCATTATCCGTTCCATTATGAATCACGAGCTTAAGTCCTTCACTAGTTTCCGGATAGTGCGCATCTGAACACTCCTATTATTTTTTCACATGTGCATTGTCGTGCCATTATTGATCGGGAATTACGGGCCCTTGATTGACGTTAAGTTTCATCATTAGCTTGTACTGTTAGGAACAAATTCTCTTACACCTTTTTATTTATTTTACATGCATGTTTTGCAGTGAAATTATTATCATATATTAAATAATTTTTATTGTATATTTTTAAAAAAATTATATTTTTTATTTTTTAACAAATTAAAAAATATAATAACCAAGTAAAATAAAAATATATAATATTAATAATTAAATATATGATAATAATATCATTTTAAATTTCATATTTTATATTTAACATTTTTATTATTAAATTATTTAAATTTTAAATAATTCAAAGTGAAAACTACAGGCGAGCTAATTTATCTTTATAACTTTTAAGAAAAAGTGTGCATCGACTTCAATTTTAAAAAATAATAAAAAATAGCACTCTTTAATAAATGCTTTTAAAATTAATCATTAAACTTAATGTACTTTTTATATAAATTATGTATATTAATTTTTAAGTTAATTTAATATTTATAATTAATTAATAAAAAAATAATATTTTTTAATATATATTTAACAATAATAAATTTTATATAATTAATAAATTAATTATATATATTCAATTAATTTAAAAATATGTATAATTTATATAAATAAAATATTAAATTTAATAATTAATTTTTAAAAGTACTTATTAGAGGGGGTGTTTTTGAAGCTAAGATACTTTTTTTGTTTTAAAGAAGTTGAGATTGATATGCATAATTTTTTAATATTTATATATAATTAAATAACTAAATATATACAATATTACAATCTCAATAAAAAATTTTAATAATTAAATAATATATAAACTTATATGAAAAAAATTATACACAAAATTTTCACTAAATTATTTTGCTTTTGTAAAACATATATAGACCAACATTCAATTTAATGATTGTTTTCCTTTCCACCGGTATAGATTCCCACATGTAAGACTAGCAGTCAAGAAAGAGGCTTGTGTGCGCACAGTTAACGTGTGTGTGTTTCAAAACTAATTTAAAGGCTAAATTTGTGGGTTCAGATTCATTTGGAGTCTAGTGACAAGACAGCGACGGTATACCAATTCTCACGTGAAAGACTAGCATTTTTAATTCATCCACAACTTGAACACTTCAAAACTCGGTCCAAATATAAGCTTTCATATAATAAAAAGAAATTACTAATACAGTAATTAACTTCATTTGGTAGTGCTATTTATATCCATCAAAGGATATAGCTTATACATACCACAAAGATTAATTTCCTCGACACTCTCTAATCCAAATTACATATAGTTAATTAATAAGGCTTCTCGCCCAGGTAGTTGCCCGGGGGATCATAGTTGCAACTAACCAAACACCCACCAGTGTTGCAACTCACCTTAGCACACCCCAAGCGGACTGAGTTTTGCCACACAACCTGAGTATAGTGTCCACAAACCTTATTGGGGGCACAACTATTGGAATTGTAGTCATAGTCGAACTTCTCATTAACCCACATCGCGACAGCATCCGTGCCAGATAAGTCGGCACTGCTCCATCCAAGGTTCTCACCATAAGGACCATCGGAGTGCACCATGTTGCAGTCACCAATGTGCTGGATGAGATAGTTCTGCGCATAGGCTGCAACGGTATCATCCCAAGACAAGGGGCCCACGTTGACGATAGCACGAGCAGCGTTGTGGGCGTTGAGGTAGTCTTGTGGTGAGTCTTGGGCATGGGAGGGGATGACAAGGGCTAGGGCCAGGAGACAAGCGAGAGCCATAGAAACTTTGGAAATCTTCATTATGGCTTATAGAAGAAATGAAAATACCTTTGAGTTGGGTTTGAGGCAGGATGAATCAGTGAATTAGAGGGGTATTTATAATCAGCCGGTGTGGAAAATTATGCAAATAAGTTAGTGACTTTAACATTTAAATAATTCAGAATGGCCATTTTCCTATGTATCCAATTCTTTGAAACATATTCAAATTTTTTTTAAAAAATATTATTTTTCAGTTCAAATTACTCATTAAAAATGCAGTTTGAAAATAAAAAATATCAAAATACCATTAATAAATCAATACGGGGCAAAAATTTCATTAAAGATAGTTTGATAAATTCATAGTTCATATTATATTTGTTTAACTAAAAGACACATTTTGATTGGCAAATAAAAAGAAGATTCGATTTTTTTTCTTTTTAGGATTGACCGAAGAACTTGCCGGATTGAATATGAAAACATTACACTATCTTTAACAAATGAAAAAGAAAAAGAAAAAAAAATTATTAGAAATGTTCTACACTTGAAAACTTGAAATTGCATGTTTAATAAGACATCAAATTTAAATTCCAAAATAAATTTGGAGGAATTTAGAAAGAAAAAGATTAATTATATTATGTTGTATAACCTATATTATCTAATATATATATATATATATATATAAAACAAAGAAAAGGTAGAATGATCTCTTTCATGTGGATAACATGTTTCTTAGTAGTCTGTAACTCAAAAATCTTTCTTCTAGAATGCCATGACGAAGTTGTTCTAGTTCAAGTGTTAATGGCCTCCAGTCTATATCCTTCCTTGCTTGAAAAGAGATCATATATACCTTGCTTGAAAAGCCACTCACACAAATTAACCCAATTTTTTTATGATTACTTTATTTATTTATTTATTGTTATTGTTGTTATTATTAATTTTACATAATAAAAAGTAAACACCTTTCTTATTATTTTATTCACTTATAGATTATGTAATTTGAATATAAAATTTCAAACAATCTCTTTTACTTAAAAAATATTATATCATTATACCACTTTAATAGTCAACATATGTGTTTTAAAACTAATTTAATAGGCTAGATTTGTGGGTTGAGGCATATCTTGAGTCTTATGACAAGATAACATACCAATTCTCATATAAAATACTAGCATTTAAATTAATCCACAAATTGAACACTTCAAAATTTGGTCCAAATACAAACTTCATATATTATAAAGAAATTACTAATGCATTAATTTACTTCATTTGGTCGTGCGTGCTATATTTATCCATCAAGGAAATAGATTATTCATAATACATAGGTTAATTTCCTTGACACAATTTAATTAATGCAAAACGCAGGTAGTTAATTAATAGGGTCTCTGGCCAGCATAGTTGCCCGGGGGATCATAGTTGCAACTAACCAAAGTCCCACCGCTGTTGCAACTCACCTTAGCACACCCCAAGCGGACTGAGTTGCGCCACACAACCTGAGTATAGTGTTCACAAACCTTATTGGGGGCGCAACTATTGGAATTGTAGTCATAGTCGGACTTCTCATTAACCCACATCGCGACAGCATCCGTGCCAGATAAGCTGGCGCTGCTCCATGCAAGGTTCTCGCCGTAAGGACCACCTGAGTGCACCATGTTGCAATCACCAATGTGCTGACTGAGATAATTTTGTGCATAGGCTGCAACAGTATCATTCCAAGACATGGGGCCCACGCCGACAGCTGCACGAGCAATGTTGTGGGCGTCAAGGTAGTCTTGTGGTGAGTCTTGGGCATGGGAGGGGATGATAAGGGCTAGGGCCAGGAGACAAGCGAGAGCCATAGAAACCTTGGAAATATTCATTATTGCTTATAGACGAAGAAATGAAAAGATCTTTGATGAGTTGGGTTGAGGCACGGTGAATCATTGAATCGGAGGGGGTATTTCTAATGACCCGGTGTGGAAAAATAA